TAAGGCCCTGGGACAGCACAGGGGAAAGGCGCAAAGACCGGGCTTGGGAACAGTCGGTACCCCCACGTGGTGGCAGAATTTGTCTGCAGCTGAACTCAACAGGCTCCTCCAAAGGCAAGTGATGAGATTAAGATCAGAGAGTGTTTCAGGGGCCCGGAGAAAGGAAATTGGAGGGTTCTGACAAGAGAGTAGCGGACAGTGATTTATCTCGGGGCTTAAAGTGATAGGCAAGGGAATGAAACATGGTGGAGATTGGAGATTCAAGATATGATGGTGCAGAGGAAGTAGATTTCTGGCCTTTCTAAACCCTGGTAAGAAACCCCGTTACATTGTGAGCCAGTCATGAACATGTGTATAACTGAAAGAAAAGTGGCATAACTTTATTATTAGCGATCCACTCTGGTGTGCTCTCTCTTTGAAAACAGTCTGGGGATGCGTGGGTGGCTCATTCGCTTAAGCGTCCAACTTTGGCTCAGGTCATGATCTCACGGTTCAGGAGTTCGTTGTTTTTGGAGGGTTTTAGGTTTTTTTTTTTTAATTTGTTATGTTTATTGATTTTCGAGAGAGAGACAGTACGAGAAGGGGAGGCACAGAGAGAGAGGGAGACACAGAATTCGAAGCAGGATCCAGGGTCTGAGCTGTCAGCACAGAGCCCAACGTGGGGCTCAAACCCACGAACCATGAGATCACGACCTGAGCCGAAGTCAGACGAGTAACCGATTGAGCCAGCCAGGCGTCCCCGGGAGTTCTAGCCCTGTGTCGGGCTCTGTGCTGACAGCTGAGCCTGGAGCCTGCTTCGGATTCTGTGTCTCCTTCTCTCTTTGCCCCTCCCCTACTCGCTGACGGTCTCTCTCTCTCTCTTACTCTCAAAAATAAACATTTAAAAAAATTTTTTCTGGAAAAAATGTCTGGTCATAGCTCAGTCTATTGATTTCATGACCTGGTGGGTTTCAGCTGCCTTGTTTGAAAACTACTTCGATAGAAGTCAGAAAGGAAGGGCTGGGAGAATGTCCTGCTTGTGATTGGTGTGTGGGAGGCGCAGATGTTAGAGGTGGCGTTGTGCAGGAGGGGTGACCAGCCATTGTGCCGTGCTGCACTCACAAGGTGGCTCTCTGGAGTGGCACGGAGATGATTATTGGTAGCAATACAGCAATGCTTTGAAGCTAAAGGGTTAGCTTATCTACACGGACGTCAGGCCACGGAAGGTGAGGTTAAGACTTAAAGGTGGTAAAAATGAAAAGAGCCCTCGGGATCTGCGTCCCAGACAAACTACACTGCTTCCCGGGGCCCCTGTGCCAAATGACTTGACGGACTGGTTGCTAGATTGAAACCTCCTCCTCCCTATTATGTCCGGATGAACAAGGAATGTGCCTGCTGTTCTGGATAATGCGGGGGGCGGGAGGGATGTAATCTAAAAGTAGAGGGTTTTTTTTTCGGAAGTAATTGTGAAAACTAGTTCAGAATTGACCTGAAAGCTCTTCTTTTTTTTTTTTTTTTTAATTTCTGAAAGAGAGAGAGACAGCGTGAGCAAGGGAGAGTCAGAGAGAGAGGGAGATACAGAATCTGAAACAGGCTCCAGGCTCTGAGCCAGCTGTCAGCACAGAGCCTGATGTGGGAAGTCATCAGATGCTTAACCAACTGAGCCCCCAGGGCACCCCAAGGAGAAACTTTTTAAAAATGATTTGTAGGATTTTGGGGTACCTGGCGGCTCAGTCGGTTGAGTGTCCAGTTCTTGATTTCAGTTAAGGTCATGATCTCACAGTTCGTGGGATCGCGCCCTGTGCAGGGCTCTGTGCTAGACAGCAGGGTGCCTGCTTGGGTTCTCCCTCTCCCCCTCCCTCCCTCCCTCCCTCCCTCTCTCGCTCTCTCTCTCTCTCTGCCCTTCCCCCTCCCCCATGTGCTCTCTATAAATTAATAAACTTTAAAAAAATTAAAAATCTTTGGATTTTTAAAGTTGCGGTGGGTTTCAGTCTGACAGGAGAGTATTTGGAAGTTAACTGTGGGAGATTGGGATGTATCATTTTCAAACCTTTTTAGTACGGCCTGATGTCATGAAATGAGGGATCTGTGCCCCTCCGTGCGTTAATAGCACACATCTGAGTATGTGCTGCCTTTTATTTTATTTTAGATCACCCCCGTATTTTCATACAACATTTCTCCAGAGAGTTGATCTGGAATTTGAGGCTCTCCTTAGATCATACAAATTTATGAGCCTACTGTCAGCACGATTGTTGCTGAAACATTTCCAGGATCTCACAAGTGTTTCAGAATCCGAATTTGATAAAGGCAAAGGCCAAAGTGAATTTATGACGTTATAATGAGGGGAAAATGTTGAAGGTGATCAAGAATATCATTTGTGGGGGCGCCTGGGGGGCTCAGTCGATTAAGCGTCCGACTTCGGCTAGGTCCTGATCTCTCGGTTCGTGGGTTCGAGCCCCACGTTGGGCTCTGTGCTGACAGCTCAGAGCCTGGAGCCTGCTTCCGATTCTGTGTCTCCCACTCTCTGCCCCTCCCCTACTCGTGCTCCTCTGTCTCTCAAAAATAAACATTAAAAAATTAAAAATACATTTTTTTGAAAGAATATCATTTGTGGATCACCAGTGCCTTTTGTAGCCGCAAGCACACTGCAGGGAAAGCTTGGCGGGAGAGCCGAATTCCTGCTCTCGAGGACGAGGAGGTCCCTTGAAAGCCAGAAAATGCTGGAAGCAAGACTGAGAACATGATGAACAGTGGGATTTGTGTACTAAGATTAATACAAAGATTTCAGCACTGGCTGCCTAATAATGCTACTTTTTAGTGGAACCGGCAGAAAACCCCACTGTGTCCTGTCAGCACGTGCGGTCTTCCTATCCCTTCTTATTTTAAATAATTAAGGACCTCCCGAGAGGGGCAAGTTCAGAGGAGGGGAGACGCCAGGGGAGGCCAGAGCTTTCCCACCGTCCTGCCTCTGCCTTCTCCCAGCACCGAGCCAACAGAGAAAGCCAGTTTGCTCCCTAAACACCGGGGATATAATTCGGGTGTCCCAGTGACTCTTAAGGACCGACAGTTCACTGACAACCGCACTGTGATTTGGGTTGGACCCTGCTGTCTGCTTTTGCCGAATGGTTATTTGTGTTTTCAAGTTCAATGTTAATTGAGCCTATCACATCATTCATGGCCTTTCGTGATCCACATGAGGAATTCCTCTCTGGATGCGTGCCAATAGTTGTATTTTGAAAACGTAGTCCACTCGTTGATCTAAGACTCCGTCGTTGCACTTAATCTCATGCTCTCTTGTTTAATGTGTGTCCTCTGAAATTTCTGTAAATTTCTGTAAATTTCCCGGGATCACTCCTGAGGCTCTGCTCTCTGCCCCTTCACCGCTGCAAGTGAGACCCTTGAGACTCACCTGGCACCGCGGCCGGGCTGAGCTGTTTCCGGCGTTTCCTGCCTCCTTTCGGAGGGGCTTACCATGTATACATAGTTCACCCCTTTCTTTCACTGTTGTTGTTGTTGTTTTTATGTTTTTTATTTATTTTTGAGAGAGCGTGAGCAGGGGAGGGTCAGAGAAAGAGGGAGTCCCAGAATCCAATCCCAGGCTCCAGGCTCTGAGCTAGCTGTCAGCACAGAGCCCGACACAGGGCTCGAACCCACGAACCGTGAGATCATGTCCTGAGCCGAAGTCAGACGCTTAACTCACTGAGCCACCCAGGCGCCCCAGGAAGTAACTTAATTGTCAAAAGCTCTTGTAGGCTGCTTTGTAGAGAATGATTTCAGGTTTTCACAATTCTACAAACACTTGGAACTGTGTGTTTAACTGCTTATGAGAAGTAAAATAGTCCTGCCAACCTGGGGATTTTCTAGTTGTCTCCCTCAGCTCCCACGCATAAGCCGGTTTATTAATTCACTAATTTCTAAATATGGGGGGGGGTGCTGCCCTTCCTATGAAAATGTGCCAGCCTAAATCCTAGGAGCAGAAGGCTCCTGGTACAGACCTCTCCCCCTGAAGATCTTTTGAGATAGACAGCCAGGGAGATGCAACGAACGTGTAGAGCATATGTTTAAAATTAATAGGGGGCACCTGGCCGGCTCAGTCGGAAGAGCATGCTAGTCTTGATCTTGGGGTTCAGGCCTCACATTGGGTGTAGAGATTAGTTTAAAAAATGAAATCTTAACACCCCCCCCCCCCAAGAAAAAAAAAAACCTAACACTACCGTTCTGGGAAATGGATGAGAGAAGAAAGTGTCTGGGGTATAATTTCGGAGGGAGCACTGCTGTCCTTTCCCGGACTGTTCCAGCACTGTGGTTACAGAGTGCGTTCTGCAATGGAGCAGGTGGAATGTTAGGCATCAAAGAGGTGAGAACTTAAGCCTCGGGCTCTTGATTGGTTAGCACATAGCCTCAATGGTTAGAAGTGGTTTTGTAAAGTCCAGAACGTTTCCTAATTATTTTCTGTGTGCCAGACGCCACTGGGCTTTTGGGCTTTTGATACTGAACGGTTCAGGCAGGATTCCTATGTTCAAGGAGTTTTTTAAATAAAGACTTCTTTTACACCTTCTCAGATGAGCGTCTTTAAAAGCTGTACCCAGTAACATTTCTAACGGCAACATAGGATAGAGCTCAAAGAAACAAATCCTGTCTTATTAATTTCTGTATTAAAATTAATACCCACATTTCAGGGACACCAGAGGAGGTTTGCTCAGTTCAGACCTGATCGCAGAGTTTTACCTTTAACAGGATGATGTGAAATGTGGGTTGGTTGGTAATATTGGTTAATGTCACAAAAGTGTTTAATTTGTAATCGCTTAATTGGTTACATTCCTCTCCTAGAAAGCAGATTCTTGAAATTTTATTTCCTTTCTGAAACTGCCCAAAGGCTAATTAGAGGAAGGTGTTCTGATCCCAGCACTTTCTGTTTCTTCATCTTGTTAGAGTGGGGGTTTTTGCAAAACAGTAGAACTAATTTTTTTTTTTTACCTTAATATGCCAATACATACTGAGCTTTTTGCTCTCTTTTTTAGGGAAATCCTCATTGACGATTCAGTTTGTGGAAGGCCAATTTGTTGATTCCTACGACCCGACCATAGAAAACAGTAAGTATTGTTCTCAAGGGTTTATAAACTGAGAAGCCTGCGTTCTGCGTACAAACAGCCATTGTCTACTCCTGGGGACTCTGATTGTCGGGGTTATGAGGGTAAACCATAGATTTCCAGCTGGGGTCCAGAAAAACTCCCAAAAGTTAGACACGTTTCACACTGCATGGATATTCCCTCAGTATCCAGGTCTCTCCATCTAGAAATCGTTACTCAGTTCCATAGGAATCCAGTCCTATAGTGAACCTCCTATCCCAGACTCTGCTTCAGGAAAACACGAATCGAGAGCACACAGTCTCTCCCCCACCTTCTTCACAACAATTCCAAGCTTGAAGACGAAGGATGACAAACACTCCAGTTCCTTTGTACCTTACTCTTCCGGAATCACTACCTCCTCCGCGACCCCCCCCCCCAACCCCTTCTAGTCCTGAAGACATGAAAGAAGGCTGTGGAGAAGTGAGCCCTTCTGGGACAGAGAGAGCAGTTGCGACTTGAAAACAGAGTTGGTTCTAGAGCCCGGTGGCATTTCCGGCCATGCGCGGAGCAAAGCACCGAAGCCCAGGACCCACCACAACCTCCATTTACCTTGTCCAGTTTCCGTCCGTGGTCTCAGAATCTTCCCGAAGGCGTCTAGGACCGTGAGATAAGTCTTGATTCTAGAGCCAGGAGGAAAACCTGAAGGACTTCATCCAGAGAAGCTGACGTATGGGAAGCTGGTCTTGTTCCGGGCCATCTTCAAGCCCTAAGTAGGCCCTAGAACCCGTCTTCTGAGATTCTTGACACCGGGGCTTACTGGGATTTGTCACCAGGAACACATTTAAGCATGGGATTCCTTGAACCCTGATGGGCATATGAGACATGAAGTCGACTTAACAGGTTCCTGAACTCCCAATAACTAGGTTCATAGATCTCACCTGCCCAGAGCTTGCGAGAGACATTTCAAAAGAGGCACTTTTAATGAGGGGGTCAACAGACCGTGGCTCGTAGGCCACAAAGATCCATGCCTTTTTGTACAGCCCATGAGCAAAGAACGGTTTTTACATTTCTTAATCATTAAATAAGGTTAAAAGAAGAAGAATATTTGGGGCATGTGAAAGTTCCATGAAATTCCAACGTTAGCATCCATAAATAAAGTTTTATTGGAACACAGCCACGCTCGTCCATTTGCATCGTGTCTGTGGCTGCTTCTGTTGTCTGGCCGCAGAGTTGTTGAATACTTGCAACAGACTGTCTGGCCCTTTACCGGCAAAATCTGCCCACCTCTGACTTAAAACACGCAGCTGGCCCTCACCTCCCAGGACGTTGGTGGCGGCACGGAAGCCTGTTGGTAGGCCGACCTCGGGGAGACCCAGGTTTGAAAGCAACCAACGCCTGCTGGCATCCAGGAAGGGGGGGGTCCGGGCCACAGACAACTCCCCGTGCTGATCTGACCTGTTGAGCTGTGACTTACAAAACCGGATGCCTATGTGAGGAGCAGATTCATTTGAATGCTAGGTGGACGGGTTTGGTTATCTTCCCACTGGAATGAGAACACAAGAAAATGGTGGTCTTGGCCTTAAGGTTTGCTATATATAACAACGCAGAGAGTTGTGTGTCCCAAACAAGATAAGGCTCCTTTGGGCATTTTATCCGTAGGATAATAGAATATGGTTTTCTTGGTGAGCCCCGCTTATAACGGTGGTTCTTAATATTTGCGTGTACGTCTTCAGGCAGGCGCGAAAATGAATATCAGTATATGAATCGCTTAAAAATTCATGAGCTGTATGTACACATCAGCTTCTGTTTACCCTGCTTCTGACCACGTAACCCAGGAAGAAACTCTTTCTCCACCATTTCCACTGATGTTTGGTCAAAAACACTGTTCAGCAGGGATGCCTGGGTGGCTCAGTTGGTTGAGCGTCCAACTTCGGCTCAGGTCATGATCTCACCGTTTGTGGGTTTGAGCCCCGCGTCCGGCTGTATGCTGACAGCTTGGAACCTGGAGCCTGCTTCAGATTCTGTGTCTCCCTCTCTTTCTCTGCCCCTTCCTGTTCATGTGCGCGCACTCTTCTCTCTCTCAAAAATAAAAGAAACATTTTTTTTTTAATTAAAAAGAAAACACAGTTCAGTGATGACCAGGAATTAGAAATGGAACAGGTTATCATAAACCCATTGCTAACAAATGAATGGCTGGTTTTCAAGTTCTAAAAAATACAGTACTTTGTACACTTGGAAATAATCCGGTAATTATTTTACACTTAACTTTAGAACCGAGAACAGGTGACTCACAGCAGACACTCGGCGGTGACGCATCTCTGTGAGACGTCACCACAGAAGCAGAAATTCTGAGACTGTGTCATCGTCTTTTAAAATGGAATACAGGAGAATAACATCAACAAAACCATGGATTTTCCAGCTTGGGGAAATTTTCATGCCAGAGCTACTGTGTATCTTGTCTACCAGGCTGTTAATCTAACAACTCCATACAAACTAAATTGCTCTGGTGAAATTTAACCAGTAGGGGTGGCTTATCAATCAGAGGAAGAGCAGCAGTTTACAACTTCTGCAATCTCCAGGTGTTGCTCTCAGTGCGTTAATAAAGCCCAGAGAACTGGGCCGCTCTCATTAGGGGTTTTGCAGCCGCACCTTCTAGCATCCCACGGTGGGTAGGCTTCTCGGCAGGACATAAATTAGGAGACTGCGATACACTTCAGTAACACAAATCTTACATTGTGAATTCCAAATTTTAGAAACCTATCCCCTTTGCTCATTAGGAGGCTGTCCGAGTAAGTAACTCTTAGCCTGCTTAGGGGAATTTCAGGATTTGCGTTTGGAAAGTGGGTTCATTTCTCTAGTGATTGGAAAGGGGCGGGGGGAGAGGGTTCGAGAAAAGTGACACCACGGGGAAGCCAGCTTTCCGCTGCTACACAGGGTTGGACAGAGTGCATAGAAGAATTGGTTCCTAGTTTGTGGAACCGACAGATCTCTTATTACACTTCCTTTTTTTCTATAGTAATAAGAAGAGGCTGTTTTCCTTGACAGATGGAAAGGCCTCGATTTCATTTTACTGCTGCGTGTGGGAGGATTTACATCCTTTTTGTGTGCAAGAATATACCAAAACATTAATCATTTTATTTCTTTTATCTTCTGTACAATTACCTGACCTCCCTTTTTACTCTTAACCTCATGGCCAATATCTCTCCCGTCTCCTTGGCGGAGTCTTCATCTTCCTGACCTGGCGGTAGAGGAGGCCCCTGGGCTCTGAAGTCAGGCACTGGCTTTCTCTATACTTGACAGCCAGTGATCTTCCCTTCTCCCCAGGAAGTTGCTTGTCTCACAAGACCCCCCCCCCCCCCCAGTCCTACCCTCTCCCAGACTCTGTGCATTTCTGTTTAGCTGCCCGGGTTTCCCCTTGGAGGTGGTCTTCTTTGTTCCCTTCCTCCCCCATCTGCAGTGCCCCTCCCCCAGGCTTTCCTGAATTGCTAAATGGCAATTCGTGCATCTCCTGGCTCAAGCCAAACACTCTGGAGTCCTCCCACTCCTCCATTTTCTCACACCCTCCTTCCACTCAGAGCTCCTTGTGGCTCAGGGCGCCCCGTTGGCTCGGTCGGTTGAGTGTCTGACTTCGACTTAGGTGACGATCTCTGGGTTCATGATGAGTTCGGGCCCCGTGTCGGGCTCTGTGCTGACAGCCTGGAGCCTGCTTCGGATTCTGTGTCTCCCTCTCTCTCTGCCTCTCCCCCACTTGTGCTCACTCGCGCGCTTGCTCTCAAAAATAAACCGTAAAAAAATGTTTTTAATCCTTTTGGCTCCTTTGAACTACACCCAGATTTCCGCCATGGCTCACAGCTCTTCTTTCCCTCCCTGCTCCCAGACCACCGTCGTTGCCTTCTGATCCCGAGTCAATTTAAACACCGTGTTATAGGCTCCCACTAGTGTCCATGGTCCATGCTTCTCTTCTTCACAGCATAGCCAAAGCGATCTCTTTAAACTATACATCAGACCAAGTTACCCCCCTGCTTCAGAACTCTTGGTTCCCCAGCACACTTCGAATAAAACCCTGAAGTCCTCACATCTCCTAAAAGGCCTTCTGCCTCCTCCCAACCTGATTGCCTGCCCAGCACGCACTCCGCTTCTGCTGTGCTGACCTTGCTTTTTCTCACCGGGCTTTGTCACTTGCTCTTTGACCTCCGGATGCTCTTCTCCCAAAGACAATGCCTCACAGCATCTCCCTTCCTTCTCTGGGGCTGTAAGCACACTGAGGTCAGCTGCAGTATTTCAAGCTCCCAGAACAGTGCTCATGGTGATCATAGGTATCTAAGAAATAGCTCTTGCGTGAACGAGTGATGTTTTGTTTCAGTGGGCTTGTCCTAATAATTACACTTCATAACCACAATCACTTAGTTCTAATTGAAGGTTCGTTGTTTGATTGCTCCCCGCTGTTTCTTACATAAGTTTCATCGTCTTGAATGCACTTCTTCATCTTGCTAAGGTGTCAGTGGCGGGTTTCCACACAGGAGTGTCACCACTGCCCCCTGGCTGACAGTGATCAAAAGCAGTCAACGCCAGGTGCACCCCATGTTCAGAGAAGTTACAAGATGGGAGAAAAAGACAATGAAATTGATGAAGCACGTTGTGTTGGGTACTCCGTATCTTGAAATAATTTAGATTCGGTTTTCATCCAGTTGAATTATTCCTTAAAGTGGTAGTCTCCACAAAAGTGGGGGGGGGGGGGGAATGTGGCAGCTGGTGTGGGTGGCCCGGTCTGTGGTTTTTATTCCCCCGGTTCCAGCACCCGTGTTTGCTGTAGGGGAGTACGATGCCAGCACAAATGTCCTTTTCTCCCCGTGGGACAGCTCCTCCAGAGAAGGTCTCTTCTCTGTCCCCCTTGTCACTTCCAAGTTCTCTCTCATAGTTTTCCTGTGTCTGCTTGGGCTTCAGGCAGTGGGATAAAGTGGGCAGCCATGGGTCCCCTCCCAGCCGTGCAAGGGACAGATTCCGCTGCCCGGCTCTGGTCCAGCCGCGTGGCCCGCCAGGAGGTCCGAGGACTCGTCTTGAGTGACGGTGGCGGGGACCGGGGCTGCAAAAGGAAGACGTTCCGTTCCGCTGTCAGGGTTCCAGATGGTGACTCTTCAGGATTCTGTGACTGTGAACAGTTCTTTCCTCTTCGGTCTACATTCGTTTGAAGTCTGGCTCCTTAGAATTCCGAATTGATTTCTCCGGAAGTTATTGGGAGTCTGGTTTCTCCCCCCTTGGTAGGGAGGAGAAGTTGTCACACATGGCTCAGATGCTTAAGCTAAGTGGGAATGATGGCTCCACGCAGAACACCTCTTCCATTGCTGTTTGGTGTCAATAAAATTGTTAAATTTTTTTTTTATGTACTGGACATTCTTAACACTTCAGCTAATTTTAGCTCTCTGTGCTCTGACATCAGACTTCTATAAATTAATGAAAGGTTTTGTGCTTTGGGTACCTTCTAGACCTCAAACTTTATGTAATATATTTCTGCTTTTCACAGAGGAAGGAGTAAGCCACAGAGCAGTCAGATGACTTCTATAGGATGTGAATTGTTGCCTAATTTCAGTTTTTTGGAACAAGATTCAAGGTGTACCGACGCTTGAGTCAGCCAGTGTCTGTTAGTTAAATAATGGAAGAGGGAAGAAGCTATGAACTCCGATCTGTTCCATTTTGTTTTATGGGGTCTTTTTATAAAATGATTAGGGACTCTTCTTAATTGGTTGTCAGTGTTCAAGCCTCAAGCGATCTAAAGTCTGTTCCTTTTACTAATCTTTTCATTCCCTTTTTCCCCTGTAGCTTTCACAAAATTGATCACAGTCAACGGACAAGAATATCATCTTCAGCTTGTCGACACAGCTGGACAAGTAAGTCTGGTGTCTCAGACTCGTCTTCCGCTGTCCTTTGTCGAGCAGTCTTGGCCCTGTCATTGATCCTTAAACACAGCAGCGATGCCAAGAAACCCCCTGTGGTTTATGTGTGCCTGAATATTAGCAGGCTGTCTGCTAAGACGTTTGTGGCAGTTATCCCAAATCATTAACTTGTTTTTCTACTTTAGAATTGTGTTAAACGCACTCACAGGAAGTTTCATATTTATCGTAGGGTAGCGTATTTCTATTTTCTAAACTTGCATCCTGTGTCGGAATCCTGTTTGTACTTTTCCTTCCTTTCTAATACATTTTCTACATTAAGGACAAAAGTAGGGGCACCTGGGTGGTTCAGTTGGTTGAGTGTCTGACTGCAGCTCATGTCATGATCTCGTGGTTCACGAGTTCGAGCCCTGCGTCAGGCTCTGTGCTGACAGCTCAGAACCTGGAGCCTGCTTCGAATTATGTGTCTCCCCCTCTCTCCACCCCTCCCCCACTCACTCTCCCTCTCTCTCAAAAATAAATAAAAACATATAAAAAAACTAAAAAAAAAAAAAAACAGAAGTAAGTCTTTTCCAGGAGAAAGGCATGAGAAAGCTGTAGGGCAGAAATGGACTGATTTATAGATGGATTACATGATTACCAGCTTAAAGAGTGTTAACTTTATATGTTAGGCAATAAGTAATTGCCAAAGATTAAGCAACCCCAAAAAAGGTATCCACGGGTTAATATAGCAGAGATTTGGGGAAGGATGGCCAGGGCAATTGACCAGAAGCAGTGGGTGAAAGAAGTTAGTGAACTTGAAGTTTCTCCGAGAGAGTCCCAAGCCCTGGCGGCTGAACTTCTCCCATTTCCGTGGCACCCGGTCCAGCTTTTACTAGAAGCCATCCTGTTGGGCTGGATCTATTACAGTTGCCTGGAGTGGGAGCTTCAAGAGGCTGGGATGTCAGTCTCTGAGTCTGGCTTCGTGTCTTACACTTGACAGGATCAGACTTGGAGGAGGGCGCGTGTAGTGTGTGTAACCTGGTCTGCCCTGTTAAACGGAGGCTTTTTTTCTGGAGCCTGGGGAGATGGAGATAGACCTAGAATGATGTGGCCCGTCCTGCGGGTTTGGAATGAACCCCCTCCCCACCTTGATGTTTCGAAGTGAACCTAGAAGCAAAGTGTAGCCCCCTAGTGAAGCAAGAGAATAGCTGTATTGAATGGCTTGAGTACCAGAGAAGCCCTGGAGATTCAATTCTGGAAGCTTCAAGGAAAATAAATCAAATGTGTGTGTCCCAGAGGTTCACCGTGCAACTCTCTTGTTTACCCTACACACCCCTCGGTCATGGGTATGCTGGTCTTTCATCCTCAGACCTCACGATGGTGGCCTTAGAGCAGCACCATCCTGGCCCTTGACTCTGCGGGGTACCTGCCCAGTGACCAAGGGGGAGTTGGGAGCCCAAGGGAGAAAGAGGGGCAGAAGTCTCCAAAGGGGAGTCATGACCCAGAGATTGCAGCTAATCTGAGAAGTTACCGTAGAAGAGTCTCTGGGGTCGGACATTGCTTTCAATTCTTAGGGTTTGTATCTTTCATGGTTAAGGTGACTGGTATAATTTATTGCCCAAAACGATTAAGAGGGGAGAGAGCCGTGGTAATAATGATGCTAGAACAGCAGGTGTTACCGGATCATGTCCTGGATGAGGAAGTAACAGCCACATTGTTCATAGTGGGCCTCTGACTTTACCAAGATTCTTTTTTTTTTTTTTTTCTCTTACTAACCTATTGACCTTGAGAAAGTTAATGAACTTTTCTAGACCTCAGATTCTTCATCCATAAACGGATAATCTTGTAGTGCCTGCCTTCACGGGATTGTTGTGTGGTTTAGGGTTAGGGTTAAGGTTAGATTTACTGGCTTCCAGAAGATCTGGTCCTTATTTGTAGACCTTAGATGCTGCTAAGACCAAAGCAGGGCCTGGCGTGCTGTTACCGCGACCCTGAGTGGGAGGAGTGCAGGCGTAGCTTCTACTTGTAGTAGCGCCTTCCTTGAGAACATTCTTCTAGAGATTTCTTTCTGTTGACTCCTCAGAATAGAAGATGTGTCCTACGGGCTTCTGCTTGGCTCTGAAGCACACCCGTACGCTGGGGCATCACATGCCTATAACTATTTTAATGACAGAGTGGTAAAGAATGGCCCCAAAAAGATCAGAGGTCTCGGGGAGTGAGTGGGGGGGGGGGGGGCGAGAGCAGGGTCTGTGACCAGCTAGCTCCGCCTCTCTCGCCCCTCGGGGTCTGTTCCTGCCAGATCAGAATATTTAGAGAATTTCTGCCCAGAGCAGATCCAGATCTGGCTGCCTCAAATAATCCGTGCTTCTTCAAGGCTACATTCCGTTGGGAGACTCTGAAATTAAAGGGTGTGTGAGTATCGATGGTTCCTGAGGATACGGCTCGCGCGTTTCCTTTGCTGCGGCTCTAACACCACGGACACCGTGCTCTGTGGCAGCGGGAGGACACGACACAACACGTTCACCGCTGTTCTCAAACTGGATTCCTGCGGGCAGGTGTGGGGCTGGGGCGAAGAGTGCCCATGGTAGGGGGAGGTGATGAGAGGGCAGTGTCTTCAAACGGAATCCACAGCGTGTTCGCCGGTTGACACGTTTTAAGAGTAACACTGTCACAGCAAGTCCTGTCTACTTGGTAGTTCATGTCGCAGCTGGTTTTGTTGCCAGCAAGGGGAGGTGAAGAACATGGTTAAATACAAGGTGATGGTTTTTATTTGGCATGAAATACTTTGTTCGGGCCTGATTGAAGTAGACTCCGTGACAGGTGAATCAGTGACAGTTGTGGGGGTTTTTTAAACTTTTTTTTTTTAACATTTATTCATTTTTGAGAGACCGTGCATGAGCGGGGGAGGGGCAGAGAGAGAGGGAGAAACCGAATCTGAAGCAGCTCCAGGCTCTGAGCTGTCAGCACAGAGCCTGACACGGGGCTCAAACCCATGGACCGCAAGATTATGACCTGAGCTGAAGTCGGATGCTTAACCGACTGAGCCACCCAGGTGCCCCAGTGATGGTCATATTTATGATGTCAAATCCTCCTTTTAGAAAAAACAAGTATTATGTACGTAAGTCTGGTTTTTCAGAAATAGTAATGAATGCCTGTGTTACAGAGCGGAAGTCACTCCGAAAGGTAAGTAGTAACACTTGGGTCCTTCCGGCTGAGGCTGCGTAAGCGCCACCCCTCCGGGAACCGCCCCGTGACCAGTTTCTGGTATTTGCTCCACAGATGCTGTGTACAGGAACATACAGACATAGTTTTATTTTTTCTCTTTTACCCAGAGAGTGACTATCTCTGTGTCTCCATCTTGGAGGTGACTCCATGGGGGTACCTGTGGCCCCCTTTTCCCTCCGAATGGCCGCACAGCATGTCATTTGGATGCAGTGCTCTTTAACTGTTGACCAGCAAGTAGGGCATTTCCGGTCCTGATGCCGCGAGCAGTGCTGCGGGCCGTGTCTTGCTTGCGTCATTGTGGCCTCTGTGTGTGTGTGCGCACGCGCACGCGAGGACATGTGGCTGTGGGGTCCCTGGATCATAGGGTGGCCGCTTGCCTTCTCCCCAGCAAGGAGCGAGTGCCTGTTCGCCCACACACTCATCAGCACAGTGCATTTTCACGTCTTGTTACTCGCCAGTCCGCTAGGTGAAAAATAGTGCACAGGACCCTTTTACTGTTAAGCATTTTCCTTACTCTGAAAGGATATGAGCTTGTTCTCCGGTTGGAGGATGTGTGTTTCCTTGTCTGGGAATTTATCCTGTCCGTGTACTTTGCCCTTCCTCTGTTGGGTGGATGGTCGTTGCCGATGGGACTAAGGGACCCCTTAATGGGAAGAAAATCCGCAGTTTAGGTGATCCGAGCTGCAAGGTTTTGTTTTCAGTTTATGTTTTTTTTGGGAAATGTTCTTAGCCATGAAGAACTTCCTCATTTTCACATAGTTGAATTTATGATTCTCTTCTCCACTGATAACTAGCCTTAAACAATTCTCCCATCTACTGTGCACGTACATGCAGTGTTTAATCTTTAAATCTTTAATTCCTCTGGAATGCGTTTTTGCTCAAAGGTGAGTTAGAGATCCAACTGTGCCATTTACCACCAGATGTTTCTGCTGTTGTTCCCTGGACAGTCTTATTGAAGGTTCCCTTTGCCCTTACTGAGCTGAAGTGCCAGTATTAGCATGAGACTAACCCCCTTGTCTATCTGGGTCCTTGTAGATTCACTCCTGAACTAGTACTTCCTCTAGGTTTAAAATAAGCAGCTGTTGTGGTTTTCACCCACCTGCTTCTACAATTGCTATTTCTCGGAAAAGCTCATGTTAACGTTAATTTGATCAGCCGGTAGATGCCTGCACGCTCTTGCTGAGGACCTCCGTACACTGTTGCAGTTATTGAAGTCCTTTATCTCTTGGGAGTGTTTTCAGATCTTCTTCAGATGGACCCTACGGTTTTGTTCTCTTAAGTTTTTTCCTAGAAATTTTGTCCTTTTTGTTATTTTTTGGTTTCTGTTAGAGCCAGAGGTCCTTTCCCTCCAGTACACTTTTTAGTGAGTTGTTCCTTGCACTGTGATTCTGGTGTGTGATTACTCTCTTCTTATTTTAAACCTCTCTTTTTAATGTTTATTTACTTTTAACAGAGAGACACAGAAAGAGGCTCAAGCAGGAGAGAGGCAGAGAGAAAGGGAGACACAGAATTCGAAGCAGGATCCAGGGTCTGAGCTGTCAGCACAGAGCCTGACGTGGGGCTTAAACCCACAAACCATGAGATCATGACCTGAGCTGAAGTCGGACGCTTAACCGACTGAGCCACGCAGACACCCCATGTGATTACTCTTTTATTTCAACATCTTTTCTTCAGGGAAAAGGTGATTCGAACTTTGGACTTACTGTAGCTCAGCTGGTAACTAGAATCACTTGGAATGTTGTTTTTAATGTGGGTGAAAAGATCTATCATTCCATTGACAAAAATGTGTTCTCAAAATTCAACACTAAAATGAACCTGACTAGGGCATCTGGGTGGCTCAGTCAGTCAAGCGTCTGACTCTTGATATTTTTTTTTTATTTTTTTTTATTTTTATTTATTTCTAGGAGAGAGAGAGAGAGAGAGACAGCGTGAGCAGGGGAGGGTCAGAGAGAGAGGGAGCCACAGACTGAAACAGGCTCCAGGCTCCGAGCTGGCAGTCAGCACAGAGCCCAACTCGGGGCTCGAACCCACCAACCGCGAGATCATGACCTAAGCGAAAGTCGGACGCTCAACCGACTAAGCCACCCAGGCGCCCCCTGACTCTTGATTTTAGCTCAGGTCATGATCTCACGGTCTGTGGGTTCCAGCCCCATGTTGGGCTCTGGGCCAACAGCTCAGAGCCTGGAGCCTGCTTCAGATTCTGTGTCTACTTTTCTCTCTGCCCCTCCCCCACTCATACTCTGTCTCTTGAAAATAAACATTAAAAAAAAAATTTTTTTTTCTAAAATGAACTGGACTTTGTGAAACTAATACGAAAGTAATCGTGAAACAAAGGTTTTACTTTGTGTACGTGGTAAGGGTTCTAATATAGAAATACTAATCTCTAGGGGCGCCTGGGTGGCTTAGTCGGCTAAGCGTCCGACTTTCGCTTTGGTCATGATCTCTCGGTTCGTGGGTTTGTGCCCCGCTTCGGGCTCTGTGCTGACTGTCAGCTCTGAGCCTGGAGCCTGTTTCAGTCTGTGACTCCCTCTCTCTCTGACCCTCCCCTGCTCACGCTGTCTCTCTCTCTCTCTCTCCTAGGAATAAATAAAAAAAAAAAAAAAGAAATACTAATCTCTAATCAATGATTACTATTGATGATATCCAAGAACTGATAGTAAAACTTACTTTTTTAAGATTTCAGTAAGATACTTATTATTAGTAAGACACTTTACCATGGTAAATAATAATTCAGGCTCATCATGAACATTAGTTGTAACCCTCCTGTGAAACTGCAAAGCTATATAATGATATAACCTTGATATAATGATTGTCTGACATGACTTTCTATACTAGTGCTTGCTCGGGTACGCGGCTTGTTTACAATTATATTTCGATGGAGAACAAAATATTTTGCAGCAGACGGCGTGCGCTGAGGCAGGCTGCACTGACATTAGACCTTCAGAATGCTTTTATATTTGTCTTCTAAAGCCGCTTTCTGAAAGCAGGCACTGCTACATTGTCACATAGTGTGCCCGTTTGTTATTACTTCCTGAACTTGCTCAGTATAGAACTCTGATCTCAGAGGTCTGGGTACCCGGAGTCTAGAGTCTGGGTCCTCTTCTCCTTTCTTAGCCTCCCAAGTGCAGGGAGCGGCCCACTAATGACCAATAGACAGGCACTTGGGCCATTGTGACTCACGTGCCGGGAACAGGTGTCGTGATGACTAACAATTTTAGATCGGAAAACACAGATTTGTGGAATCAGCCAGAGGCACTCGGGAATTTCCCACAAGATCTAAGATTCTGGACTTCTTGTCCGCAGAAGAAACGTTAGTGCCTTTCGCCTCGTGTAAGATGGGGGGGGGGGCCTGTGGTCCTGACACTCCTCACCCTCCCAGGAATCACAGAATTTATTAGCCTTCTTCCCAAAAGCCTTCAAATAGCCAGAAGCGTTTTTTGAATATCGGCTTAAAACAATTAGCCCCCAAACGAGTCTTAAATAAGTCTTAAGTGTGTACGGCTCTGTCTCAGAATAATATCTTAATCTCCTTTTTGTTTACTTTGAGTTCTTTGACCAGGCAACATGCGAAAAACTTCGGGTAGAGATTGCTGGTTATGCTATATGAAGACTTTACTGAGACGGAATTATTTTCTCTCCCACAGGATGAATACTCCATCTTTCCTCAGACATACTCCATAGATATTAATGGTTATATTCTTGTGTATTCTGTCACATCAATCAAAAGGTAGGATTTCTCTCCCACCCCCCGCTGCTTGCCTCGAGTCTGTTTGCTCTGCATAGACAGTGTTCCGCTGTTTAAAGGATTGATGGACTTGGTTGTAGTAACAACCAGCCCTACTAGGCCGAGTGAGTTTCAGTGATTGACATGTGGAACGAGGGAAAAAATGCCCCGCTGGACGTGCTCTTACACCTGCTAGAAGAAGAACTGTATTCCTCACCTCCGGCTGCCCGGGTGATCTGAGCCCTTCTGCTAATGGAAGCGGGCACTAGACAAATCGATTTACTGTCTGTGCGTTTCCGCCACATTAACGGGGAACAGGGCCGACTGCGAGGGCCCTCTGGCAACAGAACGTCCTACAGAGGATGATTCAGAGCTTAAAACTTGCATGTGTGTGATTTGTCAGCCAAGTGTTAGACCTTCCCATCTAATACCTCACGTACATCATCGTGAATATTCTCAGCAAGGGTTACTCAGTGTCAGACACGTGCTTGCGTGAAAGGAGGTTTGTAGGAAGAAACCTCGGAATTCCTTGTGTTCACTTATCACAGTGGCGAGTCAGTGACGTTCCTTTCTTTTCCCACCAGAAACATTGTATCAGAAGCATTTAGGGGCGCCTGGGGGCCTCAGTCGGTTGAGCATCCGACTTTGGCTGAGGTCATGATCTCACGATCCGTGGGTTCGAGGCCCACGTCGGGCTCTGTGCTGAAGGCTCAGAGCCTGGAGCCTGCTTCAGATTCTGTGTCTCCCTCTCTCTCTGACCCTCCCTCGCTCATGCTCTGTCTCTTTCTGTCTCTCAGAAATAAATGAACCTTTAAAAAATTTAAAAACTACATGTAAAAGCACCAGCTAAGATGGAGGTCTGATTTCATGCTTTTGTCTTCCAGTTTTGAAGTGATTAAAGTTATTCACGGCAAGTTGTTGGATATGGTGGGGAAAGTGCAGTAAGTAGTAACAGTTTCTCTGTTTTGTTAGATACACTCATGACACTAGTGGCTTGTGAACAGGCAGTTCTGGCACTGACTAGTTAACCGTGGCTTTTTTTTTTTTCTTTCCGTCACTAGAATACCTATTATGCTGGTTGGGAATAAGAAAGATCTACACATGGAAAGGTGTGTACCTTCCGAACGGTGAACTGCTTTACGAAATGAAGCCTAAGCCTGTCCCGTTACCGAAGTCGCTTTGTAATTCTTGTGCCCATGGCGAGACTAGTCTCAGCGGTAGCATCTATGTGTTCAGACACGTGGCCATGATTGTGTGTAAACAGAAGCAAAGCCACAGCGCGCACCCACCACCCCCCGCCCCCCGCCTGGACAAGCATCTCCTCTGGAAAAGTGGAAGCAAACAGGATAGAAAATTGCCTCTGAGTTCTCCAGCCATCTCATATGAAACAGACTTGGAAAATGACCGTGGCACTCGTTTATTGAGCACTTTTTGCGTGCCGCGGATGGCATTAGATCGGCGCGCAGGGACAGGGACGCCAGTCCTGCGGAGCCTCATCTGGAGAGGAGGGGCCTCGCTGGCCGAAGGCCCACACCCTGTCCCTTTCAGAGTCGCCCTGTCCCTGGGGGCTTACAGCCTAGCCTCCCATAAGAGCAGTAGTGTTACCAGAATGCACAGTCGCGTCCTCCACCGTGAGGGCTCGCGGAAGCAAGGGTGACCCCAGAGGGCCGAGTCTGTCCCCTTCCCCAATGCAGGCGTGCTTAGAATGCCCCCGTGTGTTACACGCTGGGTGGGAGTATTGAGCAGAGGGTGTTCTGCTTTACACGGAAAACAATCGCTATGAGTAGAGCCTGGGTCATAAATGATTATAAATGTTTTATAAAAAGCCAAGTGCTTCAGGTAGACTCTTCTTTCTCCTTCAGGGTGATCAGTTATGAAGAAGGGAAAGCATTAGCAGAGTCTTGGAACGCAGCTTTTTTGGAATCTTCTGCTAAAGAAAATCAGGTACGTGTTCTGGAGAAGGTCCCGGTGCTGCGTCCGTCGGCCCCGGGCGTGTGGCCCCGCCAGCCGTGCCGCTCCTGCCTCACCTGTGTCCTTGCCTTCCCCTCTCCACCGTGGCTGGTGGTGTTCCGCTTATGACGGGACCTAGAATATTTGTAGGATAAACAGGAGTTAGTAGTACTAGTTCGTGGATGAATGTTATTATTTTTGCCCTGTGTTCAAGGCTGGTCCAGAAATAATACAGAAAAGAAACAGTAAGGATCTTACGTCACTTTGGCGATAATGTGCCAGCAGCTGCGTTCTCTTTCTGTCGGATGAGACAGAAGTGGTTGGAGGTGTTGTCGCTAATGTAGAAATTGGGGAAACCATTTTACAAGCTTCTCTTCCAATTTCTGCCCTGTAGATGTTCCTTTTTTTTTTTTTTTTTTTTTTTTTTTTNGTTTTTTTTTTTTTTTTTTTTTTTTTTTTTTTTTTTTTTTTTTTAGTTTATTTTAGAGAGAGCATGGTAGCAGGTAAGGGACAGAGAGGGGGAGAGAGAGAATCCCAAGCGGGCTCCACACTGTCAGCACAGAGCCCGACGCAGGGCTCAAACCCACGAACTCTGAGATCATGACCTGAGCCGAAGTTGGACACTTAACTGACTGAGCCACCCAGGCGCCCTGTTTTGTTTTAATTTTTTTTAACATTTATTTATTGCACTCACTCTTTGAACACAGCGGGCACTCTCACAATGGCCCCCCTACTCGTGTCCCCTCGGACCTCTACTGTCCTTCCTCTCATTAACCGTTTACATTCATACGGCGTTCCGCAGCTCTTGGTGTTTTCCAGTTTTGAAAGTATTTTCAACATGTTCTTTCATTTGATCCGCAAATGAGAGCAGTTGGTGTCTGTTTCTGTCGTTTCCTCACAGAAACTGGGGGCCTGGCGCCCCTTCTCTCACCTCCACCACTTTTTTTTTTTTTTAATGTTTTATTTATTTCGGAGAAGGAGAGACCGCATGAGCAGGGGAGGGTCAGAGACAGAGGGAGACACAGAATCTGAAGCAGATTCCAGGCTCTGAGCTGTCAGCACAGAGCCTGACACGGGACTCGAACCCACAAACTGGGAGATCATGACCTGAGCTGAAGTTGGATGTTTCACCGACTGAGTCCCCCAGGTGCCCCAAAGATGCCTTCCTTTTCTAATGGAATGAAATCCAACATTTCTTAGGTGGCTTACGTGTCCTTAAGATCATTTAGTTGCATGTCTCATTCTGGAAGTGAGTTTAAGGTCCAAAGACGTAAATGCATTTTCTTAGGTCACTGTCTTTATACGGTGTAAGAGCTCGGAGAGTTTAAACCTAACCCACGTTTGGTCCTCTCTGTCTATACCCTGCTTTCTGGTGAGGGGCGGGGGACACCTAGGTGGCTCAGTCAGTTGAGCGTCCAAGTCTTGATTTCTGCTCAGGTCATGATCCCAGGGTTGTGGGATCAATCCCCAAGTCAGGCTTCACGCTGAGCATCTCTCCTTCTAACCCCCTGTCTCTCACTCTCTGTCCCTCTCCCCTGCCCCAGCTCACTCTCTCTAAAAAAGGGTGGGGGTGGCACCTGGGTATCTTAGTAGGTTAAGCATCTGATTTCAGGTCAGGTCATGATCTCACCGTCTGTGATTTCAAGCCCTGCGTCAGACTGTGCTGACAGCTCAGAGCCCGCTTTGGATCCTCTGTCCCCCTCTCTCTCTCCGCCCCTCCCTGCTCATGTTCACGATTTCTCTCTCTCTCTCTCTCTCTCTCTCTCTCTCAAGTAAACAAACATTAAAAGAAAAGTTAAAGCATTTGGGGGAGGAATAGACGCTGTGTCTCGATTGGAAGGTAAAAGACCTTTTTGGTCCATTGGAGAGATTTTATTACGTTGCGGATACTTTAGGGAAATACTGTTCATTTCCTTAGACGCAGCGGCGGTACTGGAATGATGAAGAGAATATCCACATTCTTGAGAAATGTAAACCAAAGTATTCAGGGCCCCAGTCTCCTAATGTCTGCAGCTTACTTTCACATGGGGTGGTTGGGTGGATGGACAGAGAGAGCGAGCGAGCGAGCAGATACAGCTGTTAGCATCTGTTGACCCTAAGTGGTGGGGCTAGGTGATTTTTCTACAGTTTCATTTTTCTCTATGCTTGCAAATCCGCATGACAACAATTTGAAGGTGGTCAGAAGATCCAAACTTCCACTCACAAGATCAGTAAGTCCTAGGGCGTAATGGAGGGCATGACCGCAGTTAACAATACTGTGGTGTTTTTGTTTGTATTTGAAGGTTGCTGAGGGGCGCCTGGGTGACTCAGTTGGTTAAGCATCCGACTTTAGCTCAGGTCATGATCTCACAAGCTCGTGGGTTTGGGCCCCACATCGGGCTCTGTGCTGACAGCTCAGAGCCTGGAGCCTGCTTCTGATTCTGTGTCTCCCTCTCTCTCTGCCCCTCCCCGCTCACACTCTGTCTCTCTCTATCTCTCAAAAATAAATGTTAAAAAGAAATTTTTTTTTTTTTACAAGAGCCGAGAGAGCAGTTGGTAAAGGTTCTCACAAGAACAACCGTTGTAACCTTGAGGCAGTGGACATAACTGACTGGGGTGATCGTTTCTCAGTATCCACAACAGTCACATCATTATGTTGGCCCCTTAAACTAATATAAAACGTCAGGGGCACTTCGGTGTCCAACTTTGGCTCAGGTCATGATCTCACAGTCCGTGGGTTCAGGCCCCACGTCGGGCTCTGTGCTGACAGCTCAGAGCCTGGAGTCTGCTTCCGATTCTATGTCTCCCTCTCTCTCTGCCCCTCCCCCGCTTGCTCTCTGTCTCTGTCTCTCAAAATAAAATAAAGACGTAAAAAAAATTTTGTAATAAATAAAAATAAGCTAATATAACATCATAAGTTAGTTATACCTCCTTTAAAAACTGCATTTTGAAGTCAGGGAGCGCGGTGGGATGGCCCCAACTACCTCACTGCTGTTCGCTCACATCCCTCCCTCGCTGGGGAGAATCGGAGGCTCCGAGAGTACTTGTTGCCTCAGACACGATACCTAAACTCGCATGAGCAGCAGCACCGTGTCCCTGTTCGCATGACCCCCACACGGAGCGTGTGCCACATTCAGCGTATGTTGTTCCTGCCAGCGACCTCAAGCACGTCGGTCCCCACAGTATCCTGTGCACCAGTGCAATTAAGAGGTACCGCCCAGGAAGGTCCGCTGCCCTGGGGTCACTGCTCTTCTTGAGAACGACCTAGAATGGTTTGCTGGACGTGTGTTCTTAGGCTCCCCTTTGGTTTCGGGGTGCAGGCCTCCTCTCTGGTTGACGCCGTACTTCCCTGTAGCTCAGGCTCCGTAATGTGATTCCAGAGGGGGGGTGCCCCTCAAGCTCGGTTTCCTGTGGAAGGGGGCCGGGGGGTTTTTGAACCCAGAGAAACGAACTGTGCTGAAGGCTTAAAGTTAAAAAGAAAAGATGCCAACTACTGCTCTTCTCGCCGGCTTTGATACACGCATCAATCGTGTGTGACATTAGTCGAAAACGGAAACCAAGGCCAGGGTCCTATGTGGCCGCCTCGGATGTCTTGAGCCGGAGAAGAGCCGAGATGGAGCGAACCGCTCACCGCGTCTGTTCTGTGCCGGCGCCGCTGTCCAGCCTGCAGGTGCCTTAGACACAGAGTGAGTCCCTTAAGGCCAGAAGATCCTTGTATCCAAAGCGGGTAAATACGACAATGACACGCAGTCCTTGGGAAACCTGTGTCTTCCTCAGTTATCTGAAAGGCCTGTCTAGATAGGTCCCCTGTCTGTCACGTCTCTCACGCCCTTGCCCACAGTGTCTGGGAATGCGCTGAGATCAGGAGATCCAAGCCAGGCAAGCCTCTCCCCTCCCAGACGGATTCTGATCCCTTCCGTCGGAGGTGTGGGTGATTCTAACCCACATACGTACCAGAGTGCTTACGCTCTTCTTGTAGAACAGGAGGGAATCTGTGTAGTAAAGACACACAGGGGCACCTGGGGGCCTCCGCCGGTTAAGTGTCCAACTTCAGCTCGGGTCATGATCTCGCAGTTCGTGAGTTTGAGCCCCACCTCGGGCTCTGTGCTGACAGCTCAGAGCCTGGAGCTGCTTCAGATTCTGTGTCTCCCTCTCTCTCTGCCCCTCCTCCACTCTTGCTCCGTCTGTCTCTCAAAAATAAACATTTTTTAAAAATTAAAAGAAGAAAAACGTAAAAATTAAAAGAAGAAAAACGCGCGCGTGCATACCAATAGTCGTGACCAGAAATCAGCCCGTGTGAACTGCTCAAGTACTTTATTGGTGAATTTTCAAGCGTAGCTCGTTTGTAACTTGTCTTACGTTCCTAAGAAGCAGAGTTCAGTGGATTTTGTTAACAAAGGGCTCAATGGTAAAAGCGATCGAGTCCGTGAGAACACTACGCCTGTTCCTGAACTGCGGGAAGGGTTTGCGGTCCTGGCTTATTTATCTTGGAGGCCGGCGGCTGTACTTGCGCGACGTGATGAAAGAGAATTTACTTGCGCAGAGTCAGATCACACAGATAATCAAGGAGAATCCTGAGATTTATCTAGAAAGCCAAATTCCAGGCGCACTGTATTTGGTGAGAGTCTGGCACGTGTTTTTCCAGACGTTTCTCTGCATTTTTGTAGGGTGAAATAAACATCATGTTTGTACAGTCGTGGGAAAGGGGGAAGGCTGCTGCCGGTGACCTTGTTTAGAGAAGAGGGTGGGGGTGTGGCAGCTTTCATGAAGTTGGGGTACCTCGTCCGCGGCAGCAGAGAAGGGGCGAGAGTAGATGCGTCCACACTCAGGGTGGTCGGCCTGGCGGACGGAGGAGGTAGAGTTCTCTCCTGAGTGCCGCACGTTTTCCCAGGGAGCTGTAAAACACAGCAGCGGAGTGTGAGAACGGAGGAGAAGGCTCTAGAAATTCCAGGACAAAGGCAAGGCATGACCTGGGTAGTGACTAGACTGGGCAATGTAGGGCTGGTGGGTGGCGCCGAGGGCCCCCTATGGAGTCGGGGTCCCAGGGGGGCCGAGAAGGGGTGGGGGCTGCGGAGTCGGTGCTGGCCAGGGAACAGAGTGAGGGGCAGGCATGGTCGAGGGACAGCAGGATGTCCTCGGATCCAGGAAGCTGGTCCCTGTGGGGCTGAGAATTGTGGAGCTTGCGATATTGAGGAAGGTGAGAGGGAGAAAGAGAGAAGGAAGATGGGTACAGTGGGTACTTGACATTGGGTGTTGGGGGGGGGACTCAGTGTTGACAAGGTCTAGGTGCTGCCCTTCAAGGCATCTTATCATGGGGGACTGGTGTCCAGCCTAGGAGGGGATCCCCTGCCCCAGGTACCTGACTCCTCGTGAAGGGCCCTGGCGCCGCTCACGGGGCTGAGAGGCTGTGGCTGAGAAAGACCAGTCACGGGTCACGGGAGGAGAGGAGGTCTGGGGGGCAAGGAGGGGGGACGTCGGACACAGTGAAGGAAGGGAGGGGTTGACTCCAGGTTTGCATATGGCCTATGGCCCGAGGGTGGCCTGTATGATTACACGGGTGCCTACGAGTCGAAGATGTGCGTTTTAAGGAAGTGGGAGGCGGAGGTCTGGAGGGTTCGTGAGGCGCGGGAAGAGCCCCCCCCCCCCAGCTTAGGGCCCGTGGGAGCCCTGGAGGGGCACGCACCGCAGAGACAGCCGCCTTCCTTCCGATGGGAATGCGAGCCGCGGGGGGAGGGGCCCGCACCGGACCCTGGGACTGCAGGGGCGCCGTGGGGTGGGGGGAGCGTATCAAACTAACGCTGTGGTTTTCTCGTTGATTTTCAGACTGCAGTTGACGTCTTTAGAAGGATAATTTTGGAGGCAGAGAAAATCGACGGGGCCGCGTCACAAGGGAAGTCCTCCTGCTCGGTGATGTGACCCCGCCGCGGAGCCTGAGGGCCCTGGGAGCCCGTCCGCCCCGCAGAGGCAGACTGCCCGGCCTCCCTCAAGAGAAACTCAGCTTCTTTCTCCTTCTGTTAACCTGAAAGATTTCATTTGGGTCAGAGCTTTTTCCCACCCCGCCCCCCCTTTCAGATTATGTTAAACTCTGACTCTGTCCAAATGAGTTCACTTCCATTTTCAAATTTTAAGCAATCATATTTTCAATTTATATATTGTATTTCTTAATAATATTATGACCAAGAATTTTATCGGCATTAATTTTTCAGTGTAGTTTGTTGTTTAAAATAATGTAATCATCAAAATGATACATATTGTTACACTACTATTAACTAGGCCTGGATATATCAGTGTTTATTTCATTGTGTTAAATGTATACTTGTAAATAAAATAGCTGCAAACCTTAGTCCCTGGTGCTGCTCAGCGGAGCTTCTAAAGGAAACCCTGTCCTCCTGGGTGGGGGGGGGGGGGTCCGGCCTTGGCCTTGAGGAAGGCTCCGGTTGGATGGCAGGAACTGGTGGAGGGTGTGGCCTCCGGGGAGGTGAGTGGAGCCTCAGGGCCGCTGACCCGGGGGCAGGGGTAGGGGGGGCAGTTGGGAAGAACGGGGGCGACCATGGAGGGTGTGTGAGGCGGTCAGTCCCCAGGAGTGCCTGCGACCCCCACACACACCCTCTGAGCACCCACCTTGAGCGGGGTACACGCAGGGGTGCACCTGGCCCAGCCTTCTCCGCACTTGGCTCGCCCTTGCCTGCTGGCTCCTTGAGGGAAAGGAGAAGTTAGGGTCACTTCCTGTTTCTCCTGGTGTGGAGTCGATGTCCACCGCAGACGGGGTCTGATTCACACCCCACCACACCGAGTCGTCACAAGGCTGGAGAATATTGCCGGTGAGTGTGGCACGAGGGGCTTCTAGAACCTCCAGCAGGGGGCGCCTGGGTGGCGCTGTCGGTGAAGCCTCCGACTTCGGCTCAGGTCATGATCTTGGGGTTCGTGAGTTCAGGCCCTGCGTCGGGCTCTGCTGACGGCTCAGAGCCTGGAGCCTGCTTCGGACTCTGTGTCTCCCTCTCTCTCTGTCTGCCCCTCCCACGATTGTACTGTCTCTGTTCTCAAAAATAAACATTAAAAAATACACATTTTTTATGAACCTCCTTCAGCTCCCGACCGCACCCCTCCCGCTCCACCAGCAGCTGCCCCGTCGCCTGGAGGTATTAACAAAACATTAATATGTAAACAGCGTTGGGTTTTTTGACAACACAGCATTGTTACTTATTAGCAGGGTTGACTCTTGGGCCTTATGTTATATACGGTCACTCAGCGTGGGGACAGCATGAAATACGGACACAGTGAAATTCCTGAAAAGGAATTTCTGTGTAAAATGGGAACTTGGAGCAGCACGTCCGTGCTGGACACAAGCTCTCTTGTCACAGGGTGCGGTTCACCTGGTCGCTAGGTGTTTGCTGTTATTTTTCCAGAGTTTCATTTCAACGCCGGCTCCCATACAGTGAGACGGTTCTAAGTGTCGCGAGCACAGCAGGGAAATCCGCACCATTGAGGAGCTCGTTCCAACCTGGGACAGGACAGGCCGGTCCCGCACCCCATGCTCTGAACCCCTGCGCAGACCCCCAGCCGCCTTACTGGTCGGTGTCGTGTGTCCCGATGTGGGGCAGCATGAGGACAGCAGTGGGTGGTGGGTACCTATTCGTGCAGATGTTCCGGTTTAATCCGCCCCATAGAGAAGCCCCGCCCTCCTAGAGGAGGAAACCCTCTGAAAAGTGTTAGCGATTGATTAATGTCTAATCAAATCCGTTTTGTGTCCTCGACGCGAACGTGGTACCTGCGCTTCTGAAGGAATTGTGGCAACTGCCAGATGTGACTTAAACTTTTTGTTATTCAACACCATGTACAATCATTTCTAGGCTTTTTTTTTTAATAGTTTATTGTCAAGTCGGTTTCCATATAACACCCAGTGCTCATCCCCACAAGTGCCCTCCTCCTTGCCCATCTCCCTTTTTTTATATGTTTTAACATTTCTGAAATCAAGTGACTCTTAACAACCGGAACACAAGTGTGTTGTAAAAGATCACATATTTCTTAGTGGTGTGAAAATGTCTTAGATTCGTTGAAGTACTGTATGTGCAAATAGAAAACTGTATTCACAACTGTTTGGCAGCTCACAATAAATACGGTTATGAAATCACATTACAGGGGCGCCTGGGTGGCTCAGTTGGTTGAGCATCCAACTCTTGGCTTCAGCTCAGGTTATGATCTCACATTTCGTGAGTTCAAGCCCCACATCCGGCTCTACGCCGACAGCACGGAGCCTGCTTGGGTTTCTCTCTCTCTGTCTCTGCCCCTCCCCCGCTTATGCCGTCTCTCAAAATAAGTAAAACTTTAAAATATATATAAATAAAAAATAAAATCACATTACACATTTAAATTAATGTCATGGACTTTTGCTAAACCGAGATTGCCCACCCACTTACCCCATCTAGGCCGCCACGTCTCCCCCTCGCCTCTCACGTGCTCTTGCCCAGGCGGTGCGTCACCTCCTTGTTCCCACACCCAGCGGTGCTCCTGGTGTCTGTCTCCGCCTTTCAGCAGCCCCGACACAGCGGATGACATCTCTGCAAGCCTTCCCTCTGCTTCTGAGAAACCACGTCCCCCTGGCTTCCCTCCAGCGCACCGTGGGCGTGAGTCTGGACTCCCTTCTCGGCCAAACCTCAGTGGGCCCTTGTCCTGCCTGCACCCCCACCCTGGTTTCTGCAGGCACAGATTTCACTAGCAGTTTCCAGAAGGCTCCGAAGCTCACCCCTCCCGCCCAGACCTGTGGGCCTGGCTTCCTTGTCTCCAAGGCATCTCAGACGTTTCATGTGCAAATTGAATACTTGATCTTCCCCAAAAAGGAGGGGGGCTCCCAGGCCTCCCCCAACCTCTCCCCCCACCTCCCTCTAGACCATTTCAGGAAAAGACAGGACTGACCGCTAGATACTAAAGCTAGAAAGTGGGGGGTGCCCTCCTCTCCCTCTTCCCTCCCCACTCCCGTGCAGGCCCTCCCCCCTGCATACCGACTTCCTGCAGCAGGTAGCACGCCCTCCAAAGCCTTCCTGCCTCCCGCCAAGTCAGCTTGGTGAAAACACGTTGTTTTATGTCACTCCGTCCTTAAAATTCTCTAATCAAAACCATGCCAGAATCTAACTCCCAACGCTTGAAGCCTAGCACCATCCAGCTGGCGCATTCCCCAGCGTCGTCTGCCACCGAGGCCGTTCTCCAGTCGTCACTCTGGCCTCGATGGTTCCCAGACTCTCGACCCCGCCCCCTCCAGGCCCCCGCGTGGGCTCCTCCCCGTGACTCTGTCCTTCACGCTTCATCACACAGCACGGCACCCATCACGACCCGTCACTGTGGATCCTCGTACTCCCTGCGTGTTCGCGGACTAATCTGCCTGCGGCGGAGATGGTGACAGATCTGTCCCAGGCCCCTTGACACCCCCCCCCCACCAGCTCCTCTGAGCACGGGGCCTGCCGAGAGAGATTTTCCAGGGCGCCAGCTTCATTTCCTCGTTTTTGTTACTACACTTTGTGTGATTTTCTTAGTGATTGCCCTAGGAATTACAATTGACATCTTAGTTCAATTAACATCTAGTTTGGATTAATGCCAATTTCAAGAGGGTACAAGAATTTGGCTCCTATATGGGGCGCCTGGGTGGCTTAGTCGGTTAAGCGTCCGACTTTCGCTTAGGTCATGATCTCGCGGTTCGTGGGTTCGAGCCCCGCGTCGGGCTCTGTGCTGACAGCTCAGAGCCTGGAGCCTGTTTCAGTCTGTGTCTCCCTCTCTCTCTGCCCCTCCCCTGCTCACGCTGTCTCTCTCTCTCTCTCTCTCCTAGAAATAAAACATTTAAAATAAAAAAAAAAAAATCGGCTCCTATATATAGCTCCGTCCCCTCCCCCCATTTGTGGACTTGTCATACAAATTACATCTTTATACATTGTATAAAAGTAACAAATTTGCTACTGCGTTTATTTTTTTAATTTTTAAAAAACGTTTATTTTTTTTACATTTAAAAAAATGTGTTATAGCATTTATTTTTGAGAGACAGAGCACGAGCGGGGGAGGGGCAGAGAAAGGGAGACACAGAATCTGAAGCAGGCTTCAGGCTCTGAGCCCTCAGCACAGAGCCTGACGTGGGGCTCGAACCCACGAACCGCGAGATCATGACCTGAGCCGAAGTCGGACGCTTAACCGACTGAGCCGCCCAGGCATCCCTATTAAGTCATCTTTTAAATCAAACAGGAGAAAAAAGTGACAAAAACTTGTGTGACGACCCGTGGGTTCCGCTCTAGTTACCTGCTGACCTCGCTCCAGCCGGAGATTCCCTCTGGCACTTTCTGCAGGCGGGTCTGCCAGCCGTGAATTCTCTGGGGTTTTTGTTTATCTCCTTCATTTTTCCAGGAAGGCCTTGTAGGATGCAGAGTTCTGGGGGAAGAGTCTCTCTGCTTCAGCCCTTTCCCACCCATCTTGGTGAGCTCTTTCACGAGCAGATGCTGCTCCACACACAGCACTCTCTGGGGCTCCCAGGTGCTTTTCAGGTCCCCCTTGGACATCTCATTTCCCAACTTTTTTTTCTTTTTTGACGCTCTTTTGTTACTTTGCTGTTTCATCCAATGTCAGGTCAATGCCTACTGATTGTTATATGATAAGAAACTCTGGGGAGGGATGCCTGGGTGGCTCAGTCGGTTAAGCGTCCGACTTCGGCTCAGGTCATGAATTCATGGTTTGTGGGTTCGAGCCCCGCGTCGGGCTCTGTGCTGACAGCTCAGAGCCTGGAGCCTGTTTCAGATTCTGTGTCTCCCTCTCTCTCTAACCCTCCCCTGTTCATGCTGTCTCTCTCTCTCTCTCTCAGAAATAAATAAAACATTTAAAAAAATTTTTTTTAAAAAAAGAGAGACCCTGGGGAAAAGCGGGCAGATCAAATAAAGACTAGCTTTGCAGGTGGAATTTTCCAGGGAACGACTGGATGTGGCAAACTAGGAGTTTTCTGAGCATGGGGCTTCCAAACAGCTCCAACCCCATCGTGAGCCTTCCAGGGGCTGCTACGTTTGCTGGGTTTTACCCAGTTGCCGCCGCTAGTCTTCAAGGCAACGCGGAGTTGGCGTCCGGGGCTGGCCAGAAGGCGAGGGCTGATGCCACAAAGCTCGCTTGGGCTGAGAATCTTGATTTCCAGAGTTCTGGAAAAGTCGATTTGGGGCAGACAGTTTTTGCCGGCGCCCTCACTGGGTTCTCTGAGGCCCTTTACTGCACGGCCTTCACTGTAGCGAGGAGCCTCACCAGGGGGAAGAGAAGAGTATGTGAGCTTCTCTGTAGGGCTGCCTTCTAGAAAGTTCCCTTTGAATTCGGCCCACGTCTGCTGCGGTGTGGTTGAAATTCCTCACCATTCACCCAGGACACTGGGACTGGGATGGCTTTTAGTCACTTCCTGAGCCTACCCAGTACGGGGCCGTAAGGAGGAAGGAGGGTGCCCTCTGCCATGGTTCTTACGCACAGCAGACGGTGGTACCCCGTCGTCAGGAAGCCAGGCTGATGGCCCGGAATATACACCGCGGCCTTGCAGTTTATCGGGTAAATGGAAGCAAACAAACCATTCCTGGAGAGCTCAGTCAGGACTCCAGGAAAATGCTTCCGGCTCCTGTGGGCTCCGGCCGCGCCCGGGAAGTGTGCACACTTCTGTGTGGCCCCCCTGACGCAGCCTCATGGGCACTGCCCTTCCAGGCCCTTCCGGGAGGGAGTGCATGCTTGCGCGGGGCCTCTGGCTGCCTGGGTGATCCCAGTCCACCAAGACCGCTGTGCATATTAATAGGGGCTGCTGAAGGCAGGACTCCTTCCAAAGCATTCCTCCGGAGATTCCAGAACCATTCCACGTCTCCTCCCCTCCTCTGAGAGGGCAAAGCTTTCCATTCAGCAAACATGTTTACATGAAGCCAGCTTTTGTGTTCCTCTTTATTATCTTCCTGTGCCTTTGATAACTTCCCAGCGTGGCCGGGGGCTGGGGTCTGTGCCGGAGTCCCAGCTGGAAAGCTGAGAGCGGATTTGGCATCTGTTTTCACAGGAAGGACCCAGGGCCCGGGGATCGCTCCCAGCAATTAGCCCACTAGTCTGCACTACACCCCGACTCGCGCAGGCACCCCAGATCAGCGGAGCCCGGGACTAAGGCCCAGAACAGGGCAGTCCTGGTCCCGAGGCTGCAGCTAACGCGTGTCCCTGGGCAGCTCCCAAACGCTCTCTGGTCTTGATTCTTTGGTCCCTAAAACCTTCCTCGGCCGGGGACCATTGTCACGCCCCAAGTATGAGAACCTCGGCTGTCCCCAAAGCCCTAACAGGTGCACAGCCCTGAGAGTCGTCAGCTGCCCCCGTTCTACCCGCAGCCAGGGTCCGGCTGTTTGTAGAGCTCCCTGAGGGACCACCCTGTGTCACCTGCAGCAGGGGGCAGCAGTGGGTGGGGCTCCGGGGCTCCGGCGGCGTCACACACCCAGAGGGGCAAGGTGGAGGGGCGCCGGGGGCTCGGGCGGTTCAGTGTCCAGCTCTTGATTTCTGCTCAGGCCCTGGTCTCACAGTTTGTGAGATCGAGCCCCGCCTCCGGCTGACAGTGAGGAGCCTGCTTGGGATTCTCTCCCATCCTCTCTCTCTGCCCCTCCCCCGCTCACGCTGTGTCGGTCTCTCTCAAAATAAATAAATAAACAGGAAGGTGAGACGGAAAGTCACCAGTTACCTCAACAAACAGGTTTACCAAATTTGAAAAAACCACTCGGTCCCAGTCTGGCCCAAGGTGTCAAGGTCACACCGATCTCCCGCCGCGCTGAGAAAGGACACACAGTTCACCGTGGGGACCCACAGAGCTGGGTCTCCGTCACCCCCTGTCGCAGGGCAGCGGAGAGTGGCCTGCCCTGCCGAGGGGTCTCCTGCTCTCTCAGAATCCCCAGTGGGGACCTCGGTCTGCACCCTCCAAGGAGAAGACGCGGCTCGCACGGGACACAGGCGTCCGAGGCCCCTCCAGCCCCCACGTGCTGGCACAGCCTCAGCACAGCCTTAGCTTAGATTTCTGAGATAGGAAGTTTCTCAGGAAACAGCAAAGGATTCTGGAAATAGTCCTGCCTCGGCAATCAGGACCTTTCACCCAGTTCTTCCTGCCGCCCAAGACCGGCCCAGCCCCTGGGGGGGACGCTGCACCTCTTGCTATGTGACTTCCAGAACAAACCAGCTCCCACAGGGTGAGTCCGTGTTCAGGGCCCTGCTTTATCTCCCTATCCACCCCCCCGCCCCAGCCCCCGTCTTTGCAGACAAACGATGATTCCAGGTAGGTCAACACAGGGACCTCTGGCTTTTGTATGGGGCTCGGCTGGGGGGTTGGTAAGTCTGGAACTTTTCCCTAAAAGGCTTCACGCAGAGGGCCAGCCCCGTGCAGTCACCCGGAACAGCTGGGTAGGTTCCATTCCTCAGCGCTGATGCGGGGATTTTTGTCATCCCGTAACAGAAACCCGCTCAGGGGCACAACCTCTTCGATGCCTGTAACTGGAATGTCACATGAGGCTGTAAAATGTTGGGAATGCTCTGACCTCCGCCACCAAAGCCCAGGGGGAGGCCTCTCCACCTCAGGTCGGCGGTTCTCGAACGTGGGCCTCAGCCACCTGAAGGGCTGGATAAACCACACGGGGCCTCACCCTAGAGCTTCTCAGACTCTGTGGGTCCAAGGTGGAGCCCAAGACATCCTGTGTCTAACAAATGTCCAGGGCTGTCGCCGCCGCCGCCGGTTCAGGGACCACATTTTGAGACCCACTGACTCAGGCCCTGATACCTGCGAATGAGGGGTGCAGGCTGGAGTCCGGCGCCTGCAGATCTCGGAGGGGAGGGGGTGACCTACCTCCCACTTTGCAAGGGATCCGGAGGCAACTGTAAGTTGAAGCGTTTCCTCCAAAAAGCTGTATCGAAGTCCTGATTAGGGGTAGATGTGAACGTGGCCTTGCTTGGAAATAGGAGCTTTGCAGATGTCATCAGATTGAATGGGGCGGAGGAAGCGGGTCCTAATCCAGTAACCGGCGTCCTTCTAAGAAGAGGAAATTCGGATACAGAGAGTCAGATCACGCAGGGCAGGAGGCCACGCGGACATGGGGCCGAGAAGGGAGGCAGCAGCCGCAAGCCCAGCCACACCAGAAAGCAGAAGCATAGAACATTCTCCCTCGCAGCCTCCAAAAAGGAGCCAAGGCTGTGGACATCTGGCCTCCAGGACTGTGAGGGAGGGCACGTCCCTGTCGTTTCAAGCCCCCCAGATTGTGATGCTCTCCTAGGGCTGCCTAGGACCCTCCCACACGGCCAGTCTGCAACGTGGGACTTTCACTTTAGAAAATATATATATTTTTAATGTTTATTCATTATTTGAGAGAGAGAGAGAGAGAGCACAAGTGGGGGAGGGGCAGAGAGAGAGGAAGTCACAGAATCCAAAGCAGGTTCCAGGCTCCGAGCTGTCGGCACAGAGCCCGACATGGGGCTCGAACCCACAAACCATGAGATCGTGACCTGAGCCCAAGTCGGATGCTTAACTGATTGAGCCGCCCAGGCGCCCCAGGACTTTCATTTTTATTTATTTTTTTACT